CTACTAATCTAAATTATTCTAAGTTCATATTATGAACGAGTGTCACTATCTTCATCAAAAGAATCCTGATAAAATAATGCCACTGACAATATCCATAAATCCCAAAAGGTGCCTCTACCGGTATCCAATCATTCTGCTCAAACCTTCAGAGCACCACAACTAAGATATCCTTATATACATGTCATTTTAAGAAAACTTGTTAGGCTTGATGCCTACTGAGTCCAAATAGTTTATAAATAATGCAAATAACTAACAATGTGAAAATTTAAAATCTTGAACAAATCCCAAAGTTCACATATTCCAAATGAGGATTATAAGGTGCAAAACAGATCTATGATGACGAAAGGAGACCCGACTTCCATTGATCATGGCAGAACACAAAAGTAGGCCATAAATATATGCTCTAAAGCTTATATTACAGAACATTGGTCATCGTGTTGAATCACTCACGAACTATAGTTCAGGTCCTCTAATGAACTAAGATATGCTCATTTGCTAGAATCTAATCATCACAAGTCACACGATTAATGATGTGGATTGATTATTCAATGTATAAAACACCTATTTCCAAATATCATAATCGGATTTAGTGTGAAAGTTGGTGTAAAATTGTTGGACAAAAACCTTCTATGTTGATTCGTGTATCAATAAAAAAACACTAGAGGGTAGACCAGAAGGGGAACCAGAGGTAGACCAGAGTTTCTAGTTATAGAGACCAGAGCTCTGTTCATAATGGACCAGAGAAAAACCCAAGAAGAACCGTAGATAGCCTCAAATCATAAAGAGGTATGATCAGCTTCAATGAACCAAAACCTCTGGTTATATGGACCAGAGCTCTATACGTAATTGTGTTCTACATATGCTCGTGATGGACCAGAGCTCTCAACGGACCGGAGCTCTCGACAGACCAGAGCTCTCATGGACCAGAGGTCACATCGACCAGAGCTCAATGTGAACCACAACCCATAGCCCGATCTTTTAAAATCTTGTTGTCAGCTTTGTACTACTGTAGATTTTTGCATACAACTTTCACCTCGAAGCTTCAAAATTCATGATTCCAGTTGAATTGGAATGCTAAAACACATATGCACGACTTTTAAGTTTTGAGTTTTCTCAAATTCCATGAGAGAATATGCCTAAATCACTGTCAAAGTCTGCAAAACGGTGTTGGACCGAAAGCATTGCTTTTCACTCGTCCTCCTTCCGATTTCAGAATGGTGTTCGCTTGTCCATTCTTCATTGATTCAAGCTACATTTGTGACATATTTTATGTCATCTCTCCTCTATTTTTCAAGTCTATAGTTTGGAGCTTAATGTTTAGTCAACGAGTTTTGAAGAGTCAAATTTTCTGTTTTGACGACCGTTTTGCACAGCTGAGGGAAAACTTGCACAACTCACTCGATTTTCATTCAAAATGTTAAATCAAAGCTTGTTAATAAGCTAAATGGCTAGAGTTTAATGTGCATGTTTTATATTTTTCTCAATCAGGCTCCTTGATGGTCAAAAACAACGATGAAATTGAGTCATGAAAGCTGGACAAAAAGTGCAAATTGTCTCGGTTTTTCAAGGATATGAGCCTACATTTGAGGGGGAGCTTGTAACACCTTGAAGTCTTGAAGAGTGGCACATAAGAGCTACTAACTAAAGAAAGGGGAAGTTTATATGATGATGCTTTCTTTATAAAATAAGGGGGAGAGTGATAGATAAAATTAGGCCCTAATTTTATGAATGTTTTATAAAGATTTGTACTTTGGGCTTTTAGGGAGTTTATGAGCTTTGGGCTATTTGTCTTGTAAATGACCCTAAATATAGGTGTCATGAGATGAGATTTTAGGGTTGTTCATTTTATTTCATTTTACATGAGAGTCGTCTAAAAAATTGAGATAGCTTTGTATTTTTATATTTTAATGAATAAATGAATTTGACCAGTTTTCATCATGTTCATGTTTATCATCTTTCTCTAATCTCAATCTAAATCTTGAATATCTACATTTCTATGGACTTTTCTCAAATTGTTCTCAAGTTGGGATCTTACATCCTCAAATAATTACCTTATATATAGGGGCTTAATCATTTGAAAACTCAAAATTTGCGAAATCCATGAGAACTTCCGTCTTAAGGTTTTGTTAAACTAATTTTTTTTTCATTTAAGTATAGTAATTAATTTATTGATTAACATATATGTGTTTCATAATGTGTTTGTTTCATATGTATTCGGTTCACAATATGAAATTTTTTACATATACCTTTTGTTTCACAAACACGGCAAAAAGGTACACATTGTGAATCGAGTACATGTGAAACAAACACATTGTAAAACAAACATATGTTAATCACTACATTAAATTCTATCTATAAATGAAAAACTAATATAAATAATACATGATACACTAGTTCTCAAAAAGGTTACGACTCAAAAGAAGTTGTTACCCCTACATTTATATATCCCCCACCTATCGATCTATAGTTTGGTTTTTTGAAGACAAATTATGATGGGTTAGTTTAGGATGTAATGATGATGTTGTAGAAAACTAGTTTAACCCCTACAACACCTAATCCTCATGTCTTTGTCTCCTACCATATTTTCCATGCTCATTTCTAAATTTATTTTGAATAACAAAAATATGTTGTACTTCAAAAAATTTGTTTGTTCCTTTTTTCATTAATGACGTGAATCTAAAGATGATAAAAAGTTAAATTATATATATATATATAGAGGTTGGTTATTATACAACCCTTGTCATTTGTGCAACCAATACAACTCAATCTCAACCGTCCATTTCATTTGATTAATATGTGATTTTATAGATGTTTTGATTATTTCCTAATATAAAGTATTAATCATAATTAATGAACCGTATTCATCTTCCATAAATATTTAAATCATAATAAATGAACTCTAATCATTTCCATAATTATTTCAATTTATTAGGTTGCATTGGTTGTACAAATGCGATAGGTTGTATTTGAAATAAACCCTATATATATATATATATATATATATATATATATATATAATAAAAGAATAATATATCTTCAATTTATTGAAGGGATAAAAATGAAACGTGAAATTTAGACAATAAATAAAATAATGATATATCTATAATCTTTCAGATACACTAATTCCCTCTATTTTCATGTCGCATACATCAACATTAAATTTTTATTTTATACATTTTCAAAAACTTCATTTTCACCGAAAGGGAATATATATATATATATATATATATATATATAGAGAGAGAGAGAGAGAGAGTTCATTTTAGATTCTTATGATACCAGTCTATTTTTGAGAAGATCACAAAAATTACACTGAATCTTCACTCTAAATATTGTGAAGGTAACTTCATAGCAAAAACGTTATAAAGGTTTAACTTCACAGTGTTTTCCTATGAAAGTTTAGTGTTAATCTATAGTCTCACGGATCTCACGAAAACATGTTCTCACATGACCCAAGTGTGTGTGTGTGTATGTATATATATATATATATATATATATATATATATATATATAGAGAGAGAGAGAGAGAGAGAGAGTCTCAAGCAAATACAAACCATATAAATCAATATCAACCATCCATCTAGTAGTTTAACGAATATTTGGTTTCATATATATATATATATATATATTATTTCATAATATGAAGTATTGATCATAATTAATGAAATTTAATCATCTTTCATAAATATTCAAAATATAATAAATGAACCTTCATCATTTCCATAAGTATAGTTCATATGTGAATCACGCAAGTTCACATATGAACCTGTTTGTTGCCTATTTGTAAAGTTATGAAACTACCCATCTATCTTCCGCATATCAATGAGAAGAATTATCTGGTGCTTCACAGTCACAGCCGCAAATGTTGACCAGATGAAGGGCTAGAATCACTTCATTACTTCTCAAATACTTACTACTTCTTAAATGAACATTTCCCTATGTATAATACAAGGATGGGTTCCAGTGAGAGGAGGGTTAAGATGAGAAGCGTAAGAAATGATCTCCACTGTTGGATGCACATTAAGATGAGATGCACCGAGATGGATGCATGGAGATATACCGAATCAATCCCGTATCAAGCACGATTCATGGGTCGCTTTGAGATGAAAGGTGATCAACGGTCTAGATCCATTCTTATGGTTTTCATCTTAACTCTCTTTCTCATATGATATTTCGTCTATATATATACATATACATATAGACGAACGATCATTTAAGAATAGGAGATAAGATAAAAAACGTAAGAAAGATCTAGACCCGTGATCATTTTTAATCTCACCCCGACTCCATAAATTTCACTTAGTACGAAAATTAGTTTGATATATCTCAATACATCTCATTGCTATTGATCCAATAGTAAAGATTTCTTATGACCCTATATCACACCCTTGACCTTCACACTATGAAACTCATAATTTCAAAAATATAAATTAATATTTAATGTAGAAAACTATCTCAGCAATATGAATGGACAAGTATACCCTTTTGGTCACCTTTTTAGGTTTTGACAACACTTTTTGGGAATGAAATATCACAATACAAACAGTTTACTATATTGTCGGTTATACAATAAAATAAGGACTAAACAATTTCTTTTTATGGGCCGTGTATTAAATACTTACTTATCGGATAAATTTTCTTATCAGATAAACATGAGAAAGACCAAGAATCTTACCGGGTAAGAGTAATGAAAAAGATAGAGAGTCTTATCCGGTAAGTAAGGATGACGACTTTTACCCAGGTAAACACTTACTCAGTAACTTGTTGCATTCGATATGTTTTAATGTACTAAACTCATACGTATAAAAATAAATTATAATGTTGAATCATATCGATAAGCACTTACCGAGTAAACATTTAGGTACACGGCTCCTTAATCTTTTTATAACATATGATGCCAAAAATCCAAATACTATAGGGTAGTACGATTTTTTTACTTTAACCACGATTAAACTAAATACGGTTAAAACTTATTAGATAATTTAATTCCTAAAATCTCTTTATGTCGTCATAATTATCCGGTTCGGCCGTGGTTCGTTTTCATGTGGTGTTGCTCCGTCTGCACCCTCGTTGCATGTTAACGTCTCTGCCTTCTTTGCTTGGTGTTCCCAATCTATTGTCCCCACCACATACAACATCAGACCAGCACAACAAACTTGGGCCGAAAGCAAGCCCAGCCAAAGCCCAACAAACCCGACCCGGAACCAAAACCCGAGACCCAAAGCAACAGGCATTCCGATCATATAAAATGCCCCAAGGTTTATGTTGGCTGCAGTGGTGGGTTGTGCAATCCCACGAACAACCCCGCACCCAACTGTTTGCGGACAGTTCCCGAGCTCGCATAGCCCGATAATAGGTAGGGCGAGAGATGTTAACCGTAATATATTTGAATCGTTCGTAAACATTTGACCCCATGTTTTTCTCGTTGATGTTGCAAATATCATTGCGGATAAGCCCATAAGACCAGCTAAAGATATGGATATAAATGCCGAGATTCGGGCTTTTTCGGGCCGGTTTGCCCCGAGCTCGTTTCCAACCCGGGTCGAAACCGCAAACCCAAGTGACGATGGAAAAACATACAATAATGCAGTCGTCTGAATCAACACACCCATAGATGCAACGGTGGCCTGCGGGTCAACCAAGAGGCCGCAGAGCACGATCATGATTTCGTACCACCACCACTCAAGACACACCGAAACACAACTCGGCGTTGCCAGCCGAATCAACGGTCCCCACCCGGTTAAACATTCGTGGGTTGGGTTAGACCATGTAGGCAAATGCAACCCAGCCCACCACACATAAACCACCAACACCACCAAAACAACAAAATTCGACATGGAGGACGCGGCGGCCACGCCCGCCACACCAAGTTGGAGCCGCCAAACCAGCATGTAATTTAGCGGCAATTGGACGATGGTACCGACGAGTGATGCAAAGGTAAGGGGGTAAGTGATGCCTTGAGCCCGAAGGTAAATACGGGTCGGGTGGATAAATGAGTTGGATAGCAAATCGGGTATGGAGAAGAAGAGATAGGTGCGAGCCAAACGTGTGATGTTAGGGTCTTGATGTAAATAAATGAAAATTGATGACGTATTAATCCAAAGAAATGTAATGGGTATGGAGACAACAAGTAGGAAGATAACGGTCCGATGTAACGTAAGGGATATAAGGTGACGGCGCTGGGCCCCAAAAGCTTGGGAACAGAGCGGCTCCATGCCAAGAGCCAAGCCGGAAAGAACAGAGTAGCCGGTGATGTTAGCGAAAGCTATGGCTAATGATCCGGCGGCAAGCTCAGTGTCACCGAGATGGCCGAGGAACAACATAGAGAGTATGGAGCGCGTGTAGAGGATGAGAGCAGTCAAGGCGATGGGAGCCGAGAGCTGAAACAGTGCTCTGCTTTCATGGATGATCTCTGAAAGTGTAGGAAGATGGTGACAAGATTCCTGGGGTTTGGGTGGTGGTGGATCAGAAATGTTCATGGAAAAGGTGGTGTCTGGACTACACATAGTGAGGGTGAAAATGTGTGTTTCCTTTTCTTTCTTCAGTGCAGTGTTGTTTTCATTTGATGATGACGATGATGATGGATTGATGGTGCAAATGTTGCTATGATTTAGGCTTTCCATGGCGTTTTTATTAGGGGTGGGAGGGGGTGGGGGTGGGGCGGTTAAAGTTTTAGACGATTTTAATATACGACTCTATAATATGTATATACTTCAACTTGTGGTAATAAATATTTTTTTAAGATTATTTACATTCTGTGAAAGTATGATATTGGAGAAGGTGTATGTTTTAAGATTACAAAATTAAAAATAATTTAAATGTTCTCTTAATTCAAGCCAACTAGCACCATTACTCTAATATATATATATATACTAGAAGCGTACTCGCGCAATGCAGCGAGATACATCATGATTTTAATATTTTATTTTATTCTTTATCTCAGTCGATGTTATAATATGGCTTTATGTGATTTTGAGAAAACGATTATGTTTTTATTTTTGAATAAAATATATGTTTGAAGAT